AAGCTTGTAACAGTTGAAGCTTAATAAAAGTAGAAGTTTCTGAAGAAACGATACAGGGAAGACCTCAACGTATCAAAAGTAAACAAATTGTTCCTTTGCCCATGAAAGGATGTACGGTATGACCAAATTGGCCACTTTCCTGAACATGTAAAAAGAGGAAATCAAATAAAATGTCGCCTCCCAGGATGCCCAGGTAAATCAAGAGTAAGATGTATTATATGTGATTTGTAGCTTACAAAACAGGAATTGCTTCTTTGAATTTCATGACAAATAACAGCTTAGAAAAACTGTATACATTGATATAACTCTTTACATCATTATAATGACATTATATGCATGTAGTTCCAAGATACCCTTCTACGATACTTAATTAACATAAATAAAATTTTTAAAATGTACTTTTTGTGCTTTTTTCTTTTTAATAGTTCCATTTTAAGTACACACGCAAAAGATCAGATAAAAATATCGAGGAATTACTTCTCGGGTCTCAAGAGGTTAAAAGAGGTGAAGTTCTTCGTGCAGCAAACTTTGGACGGCTTCGTGCAGCCGTCTAAAGTTTGCTGCAAGAAAAACAGACTGGCTTGAATATGCCAAGAGAATGCTACGAATTTCGCTCATAACTATTATAAGTGTTACTTCTTATGAGCGGAATTTCCGAAATGCAAATCAATTAAAATGCGCTGAGGACTTAAAAATGAATGAGTACCATGTGTTGAAGAAATCTTACGATGTCATCTACGAATAGCAGCTAGACTAATGAAACCAACTTCTAAAATACCGTAGACAGATTTGCTAGTAGAAAATCAAATGAATAAGCACTCGATTTGGAATTAGAGTTTATTTTAGAAATAAATATAGAACTTGTTTTATTCTTTGCATGTCTTATTAATATGTGGAATTTTTCGGTGGCATGTAGAAGTGGCAAAAGTTCTGATTATGTCATTGATAGCTCCATCATATCAAAACCATATTTGTTTATCAGAACCGCCGATGCTACTGATTTGTTTTATTAAGGTGGTTCTACAGGATTAGCATTTTCAGGCAATTTCAAATGTCCGGAAGGACATGACAGCCAATCCTTATCAAGATGGTCTTACAATGTTTTCAAGCAGTTGAAACTATCCAAAATGGCGTGACAGCCAGACAGGTCAAAAAGAAAAAAAAAAAAAAAAAAAAAAAAAAAAGCATTTTTCCAATGCTTTTAGGAATGTCAGATGCGTGAGTGCAAATGTGTGTGTGTATCCTAATCGACATTTTTTCAAAGAAGACTCTTTTTTTTTTTTTTTTTTTTTAACATTTGTATGCGTTAGGTATTTAGTGCGATTAAATTAAAATTTACTCTTAACTTAACGACTCTAACAAAAGAAGAACTGAGAGCGTTTAAATAAAGATATTTTTTTATTTCATTTCTTACCTCAAGTGATGGTATTTGTGTTGCTGAGTAATTAGGTCTTTTTGAAGCAGGAGACGTGAAAAAATGTGCAGTACCCTTGCCGGGACTCGAACCATGGATCTCTCAAATACGCGTCGAGTGTTCTTCCAATTACACCACGAAAGCTTGCAGAAAGGAGAGATAAAATACCTTATGTACTCCCCCCTTTAAAGGCGACTGGAGATTAGAGGACCCACTTGCAAAATTCAGTGATGACGGAGTGTCGTCTATTACCTTTTAATTCGGGCGCACTTGTAAAGTCATTTAGTTTTTATGCAGCTGCAGACGTGAAGAATGTGCAGTGCCTTCGCCGGGACTCGAACCCTGGACCTCTCGAATAAGCGTCAAGTGTGCCTCCAGTTACACCACAATGGCATGGGGAAAGGAGGGAGAAAATACATTAGAATGAAACTTATGTCATATCATGCATCAGAGAACTACAACTAAGGTATTCTTTATCATACAACATGTAATTATTCAGCTGCTACTCTTTTTGTTTTAATGTTTAAGTGTCGGAGAATGCCTCAGAATGATGCGGGAACATCCACACATCATGAATTTCTAAAATGTGTAACATAGCACTTAAATATCCGACGATAACGAAGCTATTGTGTGCCGATCGATAAAATGGCGGGAAAATTCGCTTCATCCACATTCCTTCTCTTATCCTGGATGGAAATGCTCGCGCATCCCGCGCCTCCCTCTTCGTTGCCTTACATTACTCACCGCTTTAAGAAAACAAACTGCCTCCCACGAATAATCTTCAGGAATTTTCGTTCTGCATTGTTTCTGCCTATGCAGCTCTCTGTCTCTCATCGTTCAAATGCAGATAAGATCTAGGTGACAAGGTTTGCATGCAAGAGAGGAATTGCAGTGCAACGGTGCATTCGATATGCAATTATCTCCTGGCATGTAAATATTTCAGAAGATTCCAAAAGATGAACGATATGTTAAGATGCAGCTGAGTTATGATTGAGTGGGTTCCGAAATTCTCGGCGTTTTATCTTCATTGCACATTTCTCTTTATTTATTTTACAATTTCTGATTCCACACACAGCGGAAATGCTGTATGTGGAAGAGACTTAAGGACATTTTTACACATAGCATTCAGCAGCTGCACAAACAAATAGTAATTGATAAATGAGTGATCGTTGTTTGTATAATACGCATAAAACCACTTTCCTTTGCTATCTTTCGATGGACTTTAGGTAGTGACTATGTTATAAGGAATTATTAATTTACTATTGTAAAATTTAAGACTAGTAGAATATTTAAATATAGATTTTAACGACATTTTTGTATTATGTGTATGTTAATATGTATTTATGTGAAGAAAGATAAATATTTTAAATCTTATTTGCAAGTATTTGTAATTCCTCTTCCCACTTTATACAGGCTTCAGAATAGCCAACAAAATGCTAGTACATTTAAAAATTATCAAGGGAGTTTCCTTTTCGTTGAAATATAAATGCTATTCAACGTATGATCATGAACGCCTCATATGCAAACAATTTAGTTCGCGAACAAATTATCTGAACAAAAGACGCCGAGAATAATGAACGTTGTCTCAATTTACGAACAGTCAATTTGGCATAAATCATTTTCAAAGGTGTTTTGAGATAACCTAAGCTACAGAATTAATCTGATTTCTTAAAAAATTTACTATTTTCCGTTATCTTTTGTTAGAAGTTTTCGACGTCAGGAAACTGAATTCCGCAACACCCTTGTCGGGATTCGAACTCCGGACGTTCCGAATACGCATACCAAGGAGAATACATTGCAGTTACACCACGAAAGGAGGAAGAAAATACCATTTTTTAATAAGGGTGAAATTTATTTTCCATAAATTTCCTAAAACGAATGCTGGATTGCACGAACACCACTCAGAGCAACCATCAAAGTACGGACGGATACTATTTAAAAAAAGTGCTGTGCATAATCCTGAGCTGAATGATTAATTCTGACTGGGCTGTGTAAAAAATATCGCCTGTTTTTCTTGTTTGGTTACACCTGTTAGAAAATTTCCTGTTCCATCCTGTGATGTATTAAATTGTCATTTGTGTGGAAGCAACACATCACCCTGATTCTGTCTGTCGTGAAAAGGGGTTTTGTATTTAATTATTATTTCAATTTCTTAACTGGGTGGTTAATGTGTTCAGCAAATTTTTGTAAAGATCGTAGGGAATTTTATATAATAATAATTATTTTTTTCAAGTGTCTGCTACAATTTATAATGTAAAAAAGCTTTATTATCCGAATCTAAATGATTTAATTGTTTATCTAAAGAATTGGAACCCAGGTACCCAAGTTCTTTATTTCACTTTCAGTACGATGACGCTTTAAAATTCCAGCAGGTTGTCGCTGAAAGTAGTGGGCCGGTGATCAGTTGCAGTAAAAATCAACAAGACATTGGTATTCGACTGGGTTCTCTTCATAGAGAGTTTAAAATGCTGGCTGTATGTGATTTGCATAGCTTCCCTCGTATGTAACAAAAGTACCAGCCAATTAGTTTTAAGTAAATCTTCCACGAAAGGATATCTTGCCATAGGTAACTAATTTCTGCATGCTTTGCCATTACTAAATAATATAATTTTTCCCTCCCCCCTAAAAAAAGAAAGAGAGAAAGAAACTGCAGATAAAGATAAATAAGTATTCCATATACACTGCTTAAAGATCAAATTGTCACTTTGGTTGGTTAGCGTTGCTGGCTAACATATAATAGGGCCCAGGCTCAAATCCTGTAGAAGGCTCGGATGTTAGTAAGTGTATAATGTCTTTGTGGCTTAAAAATATGTAGCGAGTCGAAAATCCTTTCGAATAGTTTAGTGGTAGGGGAAAAGAGGTAAGAGTCCTTTGAATCCGTCTTCCTGGGAAACGTCCTTCGAAACTGGAACGGAACTGGGCAAAATCATACTGTAGAGAATATTTTATATCAATTAACCCATTTTCTTATGATTTGAAGCTATGCTATTACTTCTCCTTTTCGTTAGCTCTCATTATGAATTAAGGGTATTTAAGGCGGAGTTCTTGAAAGTTTTAGATATAGAGCTTTTGTCAGCGAAATATGCAATAGTACTTTTCTATCGCCTGGCTATGTTAATTATCCGGTATTAGCCATTTTGCCAGTGGAAATTAAATAGCGCTGTTAGAATTTGAGCCAATGCTTATTTAATCCATTTTCTATCTGTATCTGCAATGAATCTGCTCAAAATTTAAACTAAGTCTCCTGTTATCTGGTTCCCGCAAATGACGGAGTCTTAATTTATAAGCATACTTCGTGCATTTGCTCCATTTAAAGATTTTTATTAAAACCTTCTTAGGACTTTGTTGTAATTTTCACATACGGAGCCATGGTGATCATAGTAATGGTGAAGAATTTAATTTCGGATAATAACCTTATAAAGATGTTCAAGTCCCATGCAAACAACAGACGCAGCCCTTCGTTTCTTGTCACATAAAATTTGTAGACTTACTCTGATGTTACTGACGGACAAGTGAGATAGGTCTCAAAAACAAAGATCAAGTAAAAAGTAAATAATACAGAAAACAAGTAATAACCTGTACATACTTTGTTCACATTTTCTTTCGGTTGGGAACTTCTGAAGTCGTAAGCACATTTCTTATTCGAAAGAGGGGTACTCTTCCTAAAATAAACAAAGTAAATATTTAATTAAAATATTAAATGACTACGAAATGAGTATGTGAATATTATTAAAGTATGAAAAGTTAACGATATGACTGTTAAATATAAAACGCTGAATTAAAAGAATTCAACTTTCCCTGTTTAACATATTTTAATTTGATTTTGCTGTTCGTTATTTTAGACTATTTAAAACGTTTAGATCCCTTTCTTCAAAACATTTAATCTAAATAACACTGAAAGACGTTATAATTTTATTAATTAAAGAAATAAAACTTCAGTAATTAATCTTTAGTGCAACAAAATATTAGCATTAATTGTACTTAACTGGAATAAATCAAAACACAGGTCAAAGTAGAACACAGGAAAGGTCAGGAGTGGGAATAAAAGGGAGGGGGGAAAAAGAGGTGAAATACTTTACTGAAAAATTGCGAATTAAAGGAAATGTATTCATAACATCCCTTCAGTCCACATAGATTCTTTCAAAAGGATTTTAAGAGGTACTGAAAGAATATGGCTTGTATTTATAAACCGTTAGAGGAATTAAGAAATTTTTCGTGAAGAAAGTGACAAAATGATTAGACCTTAGTTATTTAAAGTTGCATTTTTAATGCTTCTTTCTCCTCCTTCCAAAAAAAAAATCATATATCTGTATCAGTTATTTATTAATGTTATTTAGAAGAACTTTCATCCTGACCTTCTCATAAGCAGGATATTACAGCTTGCATCAGTAGCAGAGAAAGTGGCAGGATGCTGAAGTTGAAAAAAAAAAATGACTGGATGATGTAAATACCGTTGACTTTAGAATTAGGCCCTTGAAGAGCTTTCTAAGGTGAACTAAGGAAGACTGAAAAAGGTTGACTGAATAAAGAAGGTGCAGAAAAAATGTTAAGCTGACTCTGCAATGCGGATTAGGATATTAAACTAGAGCTTGCTTTAATTAATGAACAGGGTGGAAACTCCTGCCATCTTAACATTTTTGCCATCTTAACGTCCCTAATTAGTCTGATGGGCTGTTCCTTCGCTTTATCAGTTTCTTCAGAATCTCATCAATACATAAAATTTTCTTTTTCTTTGATGTACTGAGTTTATGTAGGACACATTTTCATCACAGCATTCCAAATAAGTCTTGCTCACCAGTCGCCTGTTTGTATTTTTCCTTGCCCACATTCCAGTTTTTAAGAGGACAAAACCTAAATTACTCATTAATACAAAAATATAATGCCATTCAGTCACCCCATAAAAATTTTAATATTATTTATTGGATGTTAGAAACGCGTATTCAGGTGCTTTTGTTCATAGAAAATCTGGTAGATGCCAGAAGTCAGTATCGGATTTTTAATTTGCCGCGAAAACCAAATTGCAAAATGATGGATAACAGACGATTAAGTGTTGAACAGAAGATGAAAGTTGTAATGGTTTTTTTTTTTTTTTTTTGAAAATTGAAGACTTGATCACGACACGAAAACGTTTTCTTGCGGACTTTGGTACAAGATGGGCTTCTTGCTAACAGACGATTCACAGACTGTGTCAGCAACCGGAAGCTACAAGCTCTGGATTGGAGAAGAATGGAGGGCGCTAATCGAAGTGTCTACACACGTGAAAATTGCAATAGATGTACTTTTCAGTAGTTCATGCAAGACGAAGCCCACCCTCACATTGCAACTTCTGTTCTTGATTTACTGCTTTATGTGCATATAATGTCAACTCGGTTTCCTAAACATTACGAAGATAAGAGAATACTCTGGATATTAATCCATGTGATTTCTTTTTATGGGATTTGTTTTTAAAATTTCTGCTGCAAAAGGGAGGCTGCAAATACAGCGCTACTCGAAGCTCTTATAGCGCAGCTGTGTCGTGCGATTTCAAAACACCTCTGCTGTAGAATGTGAAACAAAATGATAGACACATGGAACACATTCCGCACTAAACTCTTTTTCCATGCCCAGCAAGTAACTGTGCATTATTTCCGTAATAATTCGTTAATAAATAAATGTGTAATAAACAAAATAATAGATATGGCTTTCTTGTGTCAACTTGTATTTGAAACAGAGAGGTGAAATTAACGATCTTCTGAATATAACAACTTACCAAACCGGTCCACTTATTTTTCTATGTGTAATATTATTGTTGGTTATTAGTTAACTTTTGATTGTGATATTCCACAACAACAACAAAAAAAAAAATTCTTGACACGGATAATTAAACTTGCGTTATTGTTTCTGCAAGTGTGACTATCGAATGTGACGCGTGTAGGTGATACCAGAAGTAACTGTTTCTAGTATTGTGAAGCATTTAGTGGAGGCCGGATATAACTGACGCTAGTTATAAAAAGGTTCATTATAGAAGGTAAGCCATAAAAATTTTACCACTTTCATGAATATATTAATTTTTAATGAAAATTGCGTATTTTTGTTTCTAGATATGGCAGTAGTACGAAGTACTGCAATAAAAGCATGTTCGTAATTTCGTCTCTTGTAATAATTTGCAAAGCATATAAACATACTAATTCAGAAGTCAAACAACAAAAATCAGCGTTATATTTACAAAATTTTCACAGGACTAGTTTCGATGGTTTTACCGAACCACCATCTTCAGCTGCAAAACCGCAAATGAACAAGATAGGAAATAATGAAAAACGATCCTAATTCCAATCCAAATTTGCCTTCGGCCTTTAAAGAATTTATGTTTTAGTTCTGGTTTTACCAACAGATGGCGCCACTTGCTTATTCTTGTCCAGGCTTTCTTATCTTATCTAATCATTATTTCCTATCTTGTTCATTTGCGGTTTTGCAGCTGAAGATGGTGGTTCGGTAAAACCATCGAAACTAGTCCTGTAAAAATTTTGTAAATATAACGCTGATTTTTGTTGTTTGACTTCTGAATTAGTATTTATTCGGCGTGTTACTGTGTCTTAATCATATAAACATAGTCAAGTTGCAAAGCATAGTCATCACCTTTAAACTGTCATTTATCTTAAGTGGTAAAAATCTTTGTGCTCTGCCTCCTGTGTTTAAAATCGTTGGCAGAAGGATCTGCAAACGTAACATAAGATTTATTTTTAAATGAAATTTTTTAAAAATATCGAAAAGCAGTTTTCGACATTTATTTCATCTTTCAACTTGAAATAGTAGATGATTTTGAAATATGCCATTGAATAATGATGTGAAAAAACATGTAAGTGTGTCTATGGGTTCTGCAATGCTTGATCTTCGAAATGTTAATAATAAGTATCGTCATCGGTAAAAAGAGATAGAGACTCAGTTTTCAGCAGAAGACCGACTAACTAGGTTTTACAACTTGTAATTTGGTGAAATTTAATACAATCTTTTTTTATGCTGCATATATGTTCTGCGTTCAACTGTTGTGATATAAAATAAATTAAAAATCCTGCTTCGTATTATCATCCACGTGCCACAGAGTAGTCGGCCAAGGAGCCTACGGGTTCTGTATTCAAATCCAATGGAGTATTTAAAAAACAACGATTTTACTTACATATGACATTAAAAAAAGGAGGGGGTCGAAGAACGGACGAATATGTTTTCGCAGGGAGTGATTAAAATAAGGACCAGCCGTGAGCAAATAACTTGCCTTACAAATAAATGTACCACCAAGAAATAAGTCCTTAACCTTCTACCATATCCTCAAACAAAATGCGAAACTTTGTATCCTCTTTTATAGTACGCGTTTCATTAATTCCTTTCTCCGCAGGATGTTCCCCAATTAGCTGGAAACCGAATTTCACTTTCGCATTGTGCAGGGAAAAGGATATCCTCGTTGGTACCCATATCTTGTTAGCCAAAATAATTAACAGAATTAGTTTCTTATAATTACAGGGAGGGTGACTCATTATCCGCTTGGACTGTCCCAGTCTGTTTTTAACGAGAGAGATCTTTTTTCCTTTCGTATTCTCCGTTCTGCATCGCAGAAGAGTACATTAATTAGCGCTTAATGAACCCACAAGAACCGAAAGTGTCGGTATTTGCTCCAAATCCTGTTCCGTTTGCTTTTCAATTGCAGCTGTCATATTTATTGGAATTAATACCGTTGTATAGTTCCTCACTGTTATTCTACTAAAGTAAATGTCGAAGAACCTAGTGAACTGTTAAGCGACTTATCACTTAGTTCAAATAACAGGAATCGTAAACTCAAGAAGGGTTAACTACCCTTTATTTCACTTAAAATAAGATGAACAGTCGGCCCCTTTCTTTGGGTTTACGACAAAGCCTCCACTAGGGCTTGAAATCAAAATAAAAAATAAAAACTATGTCTAACAAAGAGATTTAGCCGAAGCTAACACAAATCTAATGTAGTTGGGCCTTAAGTTTAAACTAGCCAGCGAATATCTGTATTCAACGCGATTCTTAAAACTCATTCTGGTAGAAAGTTGTAAGTTGAAACAAGGAGCGATAGGAAAGGTTAACTAAATTAAAATAACTGTTATAAAATTAAAATATATACCTTATACGGTTATGTTTATTTCAACACAAACTGACCTGTATTCCTGTAAAGAAGCGAAATTGATAATATTTATTATAGAATGGCCCCCAACATATTATGTACTGTTGCACACTTTTCACATAACTTTGTAATTCTCAATAGTCACCTTGTAAGAATTATGTTAATTTTATTAACGGTTAAATTTTGAGTTAAACTTCCTTTCCTATCGTTCCTTAATTTCAACTTACCACTTCCGGCCAGAACGTAGTTTTAGAATCACGTTCGAATGCAAATTGAGGAAGGGCGGTATTTAACCGCGAAGTTCTACTGTCTTAGTCAGAGAGAAACAGAGATTCTGGCTAGCACGCGTCCGCCTTTTTAGGTTACTCTCTCTAAAAGCTATTATTACGCTAGGCCGTACTTTAGGCCCTTAATAGCTTCGCAGTCAGTTAACGTTAAGGGGCCAACTCCGTTAGAATATTGATACTTTTGGCGATATATTTTTAGTTTAGTTAAGTTTTAATTCTTAGTTTTCTAAGTTCAAGCCTGAGTGTCGGGTTTTTC